TTCCAAAAAGCTTAAATTTACAAAAACACATAATTTGAAATTTAATATAAATACTTAATTATATTTTAAATTTTAAATTTTAATTTCGCAAACAATCCTAGATTAATATAAATAATTCCAAAAAAAATTAAATTTACAATTCATCTTAGATTACACTTGCAATTTTAAATTTCAAAATTAAAGTAAATTTAAAATTTATTAGTTAATATTGGGATATTACCGAAAGCAGCATTAAAATTATTCCTCATATAAAAAATGTAATATATGTCGTTTATATATTTCATTCTAAATTTTGTTAATTTTTTCCTAACAAATATATTGGTTACAATATATATAATTTTGGAACTCTATATACCTTACATTTTTAATTATCTTTTAGATTAATAAAATTTTGTAATTTTAGAAACTTTGGGGTTTTACAAATTAAATTTTTTCTATAAAATTGAAACTGAAACTTTAATTTTAATTTTTATTTAAAATTTTATTATTATTTTTTTCTTAAATTTTTGTAGATACTATTTCGATTTGTTAAGTTTTGTATGTTTTTTAAGTTTTTAGATTTTTTTAGAAATTGTTCGTTTATTGAAAATAATTACAAATTGATCCTTAATTAAATTGATAAATATTTATCAAAAACATCCAATTTGTAGTTTTTAACATGTTTACATATACTTGGTGTGGGAAAACGGCCAATTTGGACCCAAACAATTTGCGTCGTACCGTTTTAAACCTGAACTTTTGTCTATGGCTAATTGAAACCTGAACTCCAAATAAATTCAAATCTTATACATGAACTAATATGTTTTGTGCCGAATTGTACCTTGACCAAGATTCTGTTAGTCAACATTAAAGGAATATTGACTAAAACGACACGTGGGTTAGTTAGATCGGTTTCGTTGGCTCAAAACGACGTCGTTTCGTTTTTTATAATAAAACGATGTCGTTTTTATTTAGAGAAAACTTGAAATCGAATCTTTAATTTGACAAACCCTCAAATGAAAACGACGTTATAAGTCGCAAATTGGTCGAATTAGGATTATTTGCAATATATTAGTTAATACTTGGTGTAGATAAGTATGATTTTTAGGCTTAAAGGTTATCAGTCGACCTGAATAAATTTGGATCTGAATAAAAAGAAGCTTTGAGATAAAAGTAATTTATTTTTCAATTGGGACCGAGACATACATACAGAGAAAAATCCATTGTACAGGTTTCAAAATAATGTAGCTGTGAGTTTGATAAAAACACAAAGGAATTGTATAAAAGTAAACCCTAAACTCAGATCAGAGATATTTGATCCTCCACACCCAAACCAGACTGTTTCTGCTGTTCGCTGAAACGGCTAAAGCAGTTAAGTAACTGTGCGGCTTTGCGTTTCCCTCTATCAGTACCATTCTCAGCCATTTCTATTAAAAGACCCATTATCCCTAATTTATCAGCTTCAATCAAATGCTGTTGATTCCATGAACACAAGTGCACTAATACCGCAGCTGCGTTTTCTTTGTTCCGCGGTGACCCGCTTCTAATAAAATCTACCATAACCGGAACCACATCAGCGGATCCAACGACCATTTTCCCTTCAGGGTGACTCGATAGTATAGACAGAATGGCCAGAGCTTCATCGACCATTCTGCTTTCGGGTTCTGTTAGTAACTGCATTAGCACAGGAACTAAACCGGCTGTCACAGCTTTTCCTTTGTTCCCTTGAAATATGCAGAGATTGAACAGAGCAGTCGCCGCGTCCTTTTTGCCTCTTTGTGATCCTTCGCTCAGCAATGTAACAAGAGGGGGGATCGCTCCTGCGGTGCCTATTGTCACTTTGTTCTCGTCTATAACCGAGAGGCTGAAAAGTGTAGCTGCTGCGTTTTCTCTAGCTTCCATGCTACCTTTCTTGAGCACATGAACAATACCCGGAACTGCTCCACATGAAGAAACAATCCTCCATTTGTTCTCATGGCATATCGAGAGGTTAAGAATCGATGTCACCGCGTGTTCTTGAGTCTGAAAGTCATCTGATACCGTAAGGAGATTCACGAGAAGAGGGATCGCCCCTGATGTGGCAATAGCGACTCGGTTATGGTTGTTCTGCTTTGCTAGAAAGCGGATTTCTCTGGCAGCGGATCTTTGGTCTCCAGGGCGTTGCGAAGTGAGCTTTTCTAGGAGTTCTTCGATCTTGTTATGTTCATCGGCAGGAGGTGAGGAGGATGAAGCTTTACTACTTGGTTGAGAATTGTTGGGACGTTTTGGAGGTTCGATGCCGTTGGATTCACACCATTGAGCTATAAGACTTCTTAGAGCATAGTTTGGCGTGACGGTATCACTTATAAGTGTCTCTTGGGTTTTTGGGCACGTTAAGTGCCCTCCTTCAAACCACGTCTTAATGCAGTCACGTTCATATGTCTATTAAAGATTCAGAAGAGACCAGTAAACAAAACTGTAAATCAGTTAAAGAAGACACGGAAATGGAGTAATGATTTGACCATACCTGCCCTGACGAAACAATAACTGGATCCTTCATCAATTCAAGCGAAATAGGACACCGGAAATCTTCAGGCGGGATTGGGATATCCTGATCTTCATCTTGTGACTTAGAAAGTGTTGATTTTTGTCTCATGGGAGCATCATCCAAGTTAGGATTATCAGTTTGCACAAAGTCCTTGATTTTCTTGAGGACCATTGACATCTTCTCAAAGCTTTCCCCGGGATCACCGCAACTAGAACTAACCATATCAAGTAAAGCCAATGACTCTTGCGTAAGGTCTGCTATGGTCATCAGTTGAAGCTTCTCAGCCACTCTCCTGAGAATCTCGGATTCAGTTACAGTGCCTGTCTCACAATTACTGTAAATAGATAGAAGATCTCTATATAACTCATCATCATACGTATCGCCGCCGCCTTTGCCTATTGCTCTTCGTAACTGAATTAGAATAAGCTCAACCTACAACAAGTGAAACAAAACAAGGTCAAAGAAGAAGCGAATCTAAAGACCAAATCAGAGCAGAGTTGTTGTCTCCGTACCTGTTCTTTAAGCTC